ATATATATATATATATATATATATATATATATATATATATATATATATATATATATATATATACTAGATAGGTTCTACTCACACTTCAGTGAAAAAATAAATTGTGTGAGTAACGACCGTAACATTTTTCCAGTCTATTTCTATCCTAAACACAGCAGCAGGTTTACAGCTTATATCCTTCTAAATTAGCTTTTGTACATTGGTTAGTTTTCATATTTATCCCATCTCCATGGCTCTGGTTTTCCTCATCTGAGATGTCATCCATGCCAGTAAAAGCCAAAAGCAAAAAGGAACCAAACCCTCTTTTTCCATCAGCATGTAAACATTAAAGGAAAATAGAGAGAATCATCAGGCTACAGATAGTATGACTTCAGGGACCCCAGGAAGAATAGCTGTCAAATTACTGACAGCTAATGGGGATCCAAATAAATAAACAATAAACAATGGTAAAAACCTTTAGTTCCAAGTCTCTATAATGGAGGTGGTAGGAACTAGTTACAGTTACTTTTAACTTAAGAAATCTGTTTTTGGGAGTAGTTTTATTGCATTCTACTTTTTATTTAAAAAAAAATAATAATAAGTACCTGAGTAACATTTTTTTGGCTACTGTACCCATCATGAGTAACTTGTCTTAGAACAGGCATGTTTTTAATCAAAAAAGCATCAGACATCAACCTAGACTTTATGTTTAGGTTAGATTCTTATTTTCCATTTGCTGAATTGAATTTGTCATATTGAAGTGAAATAGAGTAACCGTTATACATTTTGTAAAGAAATTAAAATTTCAGTGGCATAATTTAGTGAGAAACAGGTACACCCTGTATAAACCTATTTATTTATTGTAGTTATGCTCCAGTGAAATAAAAACATAATGAAATAAAAACCATCAATGCTAACTAACCTAATAAAAAGGTATCTTTATTGACATCGTTGGAAACATTTGAATTCAAGCAATAAGGATTTATTTATAGAACATTTTCATAGCAAATCAGCATAAATTACACAGAGCTATAAATTAAAACTGAGTTAATGATGCAGGGCAGGAAGTGGAAACAAAAACCACCTCAGGCTGAAGATACAACAAAATGTGTTTAAACTGAATGACGATAAAAGCTAAGCATTTAGGAGACTCTTCCCTACATGGTCAGGAATCAAACGGACTAAACTATTGGATTAAAGGTGTGACCAATGGTTTCTGAGCTGGGAGCTATAAATCACCCCCACTAACAACCTACTGAGGAGGCGACTACCTGGACAGAAACTGGGCAGCCTCGTCTTCAGACTATCATGAGAAATAAAAACAAAAGATGCTAATCGCCAGAGGAAGACCAAAGAAATGCTTCAGCAACAAAGCCAGAAAGAGCCGGGATGCATCCCTGATGTTGGACTGAGATCCTCCTGCACCTCGCTGCTGTTGCTTGGACTGAGACGGTCCAGTCTGGATCTGGAAATGGCTGAAAGTCCGGTTTTTTGTGTTCGGCTGTGAAGGGATGCCTGGTGGCGTGGCGATAAGAAGGATGGAGCATGTGGAGCATGTGACCTCTCCCCTCACAGCACCATCCCTCCACCCATGATCTCCATCCTCTGTTTAAAAGAAACACACACGTTAGGAGGTGAAAATGACCCAAATAGTCAGTCTAAGAACAGGGGCAAAGCAAACCATGGGCCAGTAGGGTGGAAGGGTAAAGGGGACAGAATAAAATATTAAAAACAAATAAATATGCAGCATTTATTTATTTAATAGACAATTAAACTGTTAGATGTGTTATTTAATTATGACATGCTAAAATAAATCATTTAATTCAGACATAAAATAATTAAACAATATAAATTGAGTCATTATTCAAATAAATTAATTTGCGTTATTCCACACCTTTTCCAAATAATAAAAACCAAAACATCTAGTTTACTTTTATTATAATAAAGAAACATGATCACATCTACAGAATTATAATGCAACTCACTTGTCAAACCACCACAAAAATAATGCAGATTAGTTTTTCAGTGTTTTCAGATGTTTGGACCTTTTAATTAATAAATCAGTTAATAACAAACACCTTATATATACCCATGTAAACACGCTGTGCAATAACCCAGTATAATGAGACGCACTGTCTATACTGTATCTATCCGTCCTTTGGTGCATTCTTCTTCTTTGACTATTTGAGCTGATGTAATGAGTGCATTTCTCCGCTGTGAGATCAATAAAGTCAATCAATCGATAATCCATAAATGATCCTCTAGTTCAGCGGAAACCAACTGTTTTAAGGCTGAGGGCTGCTTCATGGCCGCCAATACTGAAGTATGAGCTGGAAAAGTTAATCTAATCTTTACGCAGAATAAACTCATTTTTATTACATCTTTCCAATTTTGTTTTGGATGTTGTCATTTTAAAATCTCTATAAACGCTCTACGTGATCAATATGATGTTCTGAAAAGGATTAAAAATAGAACAGAAATGGATTAAACTGAAATTTCCACTGGTGAGTTGATCTGTTTTCAGAAGATGCTGAAGGCCCCCTATGTGGTCCTAGGGGGCCCCTTGGTGCCTGTGGGCCCTGCGTTTGTGGCCCCTGCTCTATTTCTATTTAAAATCCCAATAAAAGGAAAGTTTCTGAATCCTTTGACACTTTAGATCATAAAAAGTAACTGCAGTTACTGTTGCTGGTAGTGAGTTACCTTCCCTGAGCAGTAACCAAGTTACTGACTCAGTTACTGTCTTGGAGAACTACTAACATTACTAGTTACTTTTTAAGTAACTAGTCCAACACTGTTCATTTCATAACAAATTAACATTCATTTACTCAGTCCCTAACCCTACAAAGTACGGCGGCTATGAGTGTGCTGCTCACGTGAGGCTGGCACGGTTAAAACAGGTCCTGATGCCTCATAACTGGAGAGGAAATAACCAGGAAACGTACGTTTGAAACAAACGGGACTGAGATTGGACCAGCATACCAGATTAGGACAAACCTGTTCTGTTCTGTGAAGCAAACAAGTTAAAACCCGGAAACAAAGAATTAAAAGCTGCTGATGATTGAGAGAAAGTACAGTGACAGCAGAGCTACGACATCTTTCAGTCATCTGCAGTTTCAACCAAACCAGTTCCTAAAGAAACCAGTAAAACCAGATGTTTTCACAGGCATCTGCTGACAGAATGAATGCAGAACATTCACTTTCATCTTTGACCCTCATTGCTCTTGTTGACTGGGTGCCAAATAGGAAGAAGATGCAGCTTCATTTTCAGACTAGGAATGCAGGGTCACCGACACGACAAAATGTTCTTTACTAATGCTGAATCTGCCCCTGATAGAAGCCATACCCATCATCATCATCATCATCATCATCATCATCATCATCATCATCATCATCATCATCATCATCATCATCATCATCACAGCTGTCTGTTTACTTATGCTGGTTAGGTCCTCAATGCTATATGTGGAGTTTAAAATTTGAATGGATGGCGTTTAAATCTTTTTAAAATCTTGCACACAAACATGTGTAGAATTTAAGATAATTTAGTTTAAAATGAGACCGATGGTCCAAACAGACGACTTTAACCCGCTAACAAAACAAACTAGAGTAGAAACAATTAATCGGATGAACCGATTATTGAAATAATCATCGATTAAGTTAGTAAATGATGAAACATTAACTGAGATGTAGAGACGATAAAACTTTAGCTGATAGAGCAACCTACTAAGAGCAGTAATTATACCAAAATTGTAAAATAATATATGAACATTTGGATTTGAGATAAAACAAATCCTTTTCATTCGTCAATATTCTCCATCCAGAACTCCTCAATTGGAAAAGTTTTGGTTTCATCTGGTTTAATTTGAGTATCTGATTAATACTATCAAGGTTCTCCATATTTATTTTTGATTCCGTTCATGGTGTAGAATCCTGCTTCACAGCAGCAGGTTGAGCCAAACATCCTCTAAATGTGCAGGGTCATCTTTGAGCACCATTTCTCTTTTCTGTCAGCAGTTCACAGCAGTTCTTCCAGCAGTCCACACTTTCTCTGCTCTCTTTTTCTCATCATCTTCTCCTTCTTTCCCATCGCCCAGCTTGCCACAGGTTTACCTGCTGTGTCTAAAAGAAGCAGCAGCAGCAACCCAGACTGACAGCAGCTCATTGGATAATTTGTATCACGTGCAGCCTGGTGCCGGACGCTCTGAAGAGCTTTACTGTATTAATAGGAGAAGCGGCGCAAGTAAAGTTAAACACTGTCGTCAGACAACATGCGGTAATTTATAAATGTTTTAAATCAGGTTGGGTCCAGACCTCTGCTCTACCAGCTAAATGCATTCCATAAAAGTTAAAAACAATCCACTGTACTTTCTTTCCCAGTTTGAAAATGTTTTGCTTTTTCAATTCAAATGTCAAATAGCGTTGAGTTTGAGGTTTTATAGAGTGGACCAAAAACAAAGCCTTGTTTTGGCTTAGAAAACATGCAAACTGATCCTGACGAATGGGTCCACCCTTTAGGAATGGGGGTCGTTTGGTTTCTTTGTTAGCTAATGGCGGTGTGAATAAGTGGTGTGAATGCTTTCTGTATAGATGAACTATTTAATAATTTGAAGAGAAAGAACCCATCAGATCATCTGACCTGCTGATCAAAGATGCTTTGATTAAAAATGTAGCAGATTTATGTGGTTTGTCGCTAGATGTTTTCCTTCTGTCGAAATGTTTGTCTCGTGTTAAATATGCTTTTGTTGTGCTGAGGACTTTTTGTTTGATATCTCAAACTGTATCCTGTCAAGGATAAAATGTGAAATATGTTTTTTCCCCTCTCCCTCCCCAATGTGGCTCCTATCTTTCCATAGAGTTAAAGGCAGCCTCACGGTGGGGCCCTTGGCCGCCATAAGAACACGCCAAAGGCAGCGTTCTGCGGGACGCATGGCCTCAGTAAATCATCATGTATGTGATGAACGGTTTGTACTAATACTGAAATTGTGGTTGACAATAAAGAAATTGATTAATAAATGACCATTGTTCGGTTCTATCGGGATGCCTTCCATGCCACATCTAAATAACAAAATGACTATTTTCAATATTAGATGATTTCCTTATTAAGATATTTAAGTGTGAGCCGTTGCTGCTGTGTGTTTATGACATTACCTGCGGCGGCTCTATGAAAGCCAGCCAATCAGACGAGTGTGTTGGAAGCAGCCCCATGGACTGGCACTTATATATGGCCAACGCTGCTCCCAGGAGGTTCCCGATCAGGTAGACCAGGCCCTGTAGCCACTGCTGACTGGAGCTCTCCAACAGCTTGAAGGCTGGGAGACGAGAACGAGACGAGGTTTGATGGCACAAAGCGTCTGATGATGTCAGCGGGTCAGAGTGAAACAGGAAGAGCATTAATACTTACTGGCAGACATGGACATGAGAGCCTGAATGGGCCTCCAGGCCATCATGCAGACCATCATGATGGGGAAGATGGAGATGGTGTTTCCAGACATGTACATGATGAACAGGTTCATGGGGATCTGCTTTAGGGGCCCGAGGGCCACATCCCAGCAGCGCTGCGACACAAGAAGAAGAAAGAACATAAAGACCGGCTGCTTACATCAACATATCAGTTAGAGATGCACTAAGAGGTTAGCTGCTGGCTGGACACAATCTGATCCTGGATCAGTTTCAAGGGTGAGACATTTAAAATGACAGCAGGAGTCAGAGGTAGCAGGTAGAGAGCAAGGATTTCAACAGATAACATGAAGGCTCAAAGCTAGCCATGCTTATGGCAATTGCATCCTATTTAGATAAAATAATGACTCCCTCTACCTCCATTAAGGTTGGAGAAAACTGTATTTCTCTGGCGTGCTTTGGTCGCGCAGTGGTTAGCATACACGACCCATGAATGGAGGCCTTAAGGCTGATTTATACTTTGAAACTAGCTCATCTGCGTAGGTGTCACACTGAATGCAGAGACTTCCTGTTTGGTACCTTATTTTGTTTGTTTAGTTTTGTTTGTAAGACCGCCATTGTGGAAAATGACCCGTGAAGATGGACCAGCTAGAAAAGAGGTGCGCAAGAACGCTGGGAACCTTTTTCCACCTGGATCCCCGCTCTTTTTGGCCCTCACGTCCCTCCGTTGTTGCACAAACTTGCCCCCACTTCCTCACCACCTCGGCCGTATCTAGACCCACAGCTAGTTCCCGATCGTCCCGCTTGCGTTGTGGCGTGGAATAACATAGCACAGACCACGCTTCAATATTGGGCATAAATCAAAAATGTCCGCGTCCAGCTCACTGAGACACACTGCTGCAGGAGGATAACCAACCCTTTAGTCCTTGGCGCAGTAGACCCAGATTAGAATCCGACCTGTTGTCCTTTGCCGCATGTCTCTCCCCCTCCCTCTTAAACCCCTTTCCTGTCAGCCTACTGTCCAAAAAACAGCCACTAGTGCCGCAAAAAACCAAAAAACAACTGTTTTTTTGGTTTTTCACAAGTTTTTTACAAGGTGTACAATTTGTCATAGTTGTCAAACTTAATAAACACCTAGTTCTAAAAGAAAATATCCTCTTTGTTTGAACAAGCTAATGAGAGCAATTCCAATGGAATAAGATGATTTATGCTTAAAATAAGAAAAAAAACATATCTTATTTTAAGTGCATATCAAAGCATTTTATCTTCAGAATACGGTTACCTGCTCAAGGTTTTTTTTTTACTTCTAAGTTTTGTCAATTCAACCTTTTTGGGAAGATTAATTTGCACAAACTGTTTGAAAGGTTTAAATTCCATCCTCACCCCTGATGTCTTTTATCCAAAGCAACTTTAATCAAAAACCAAAAAAAAAAGATTTAAAAATCTTCCCTCACCTTCTCCACCAGGTTCTTGTCGGTCTCCTGGATGCTGGTGTCAGGAACGGGTTTCTCTGAGTAGCCGATGGGGTAAACGACATCTCCCTGACCGCCTTGTCGGTCACCGCGACTCCTGCAGACAGCGGCAGCAGTTTAGCTACTGATCAAACCATTTCTGGAACATTCAGATTAGCATCATTGAACAGAAAGCAATTCTTTGGAAGAAAAGATGGAAGGAAGTTACAGGCTTCTACCGATATATATTCGGCACCAGTTCAGACACTGAAAACCACCTTAGCCACAGATATACAGCTAGATTATTTAAAGGTCCAAACCACTACTTCAGGGTTGGTAAATGCTGCTATAGGACCTCCCAGAGCAACAATCAGGTTTAATAAACTGCTTCACAACATTGGACACTTCAGCTACCATTAGATTAAAACCTGAGGACCAGGCTGATCTACTGACAGCCTCTGCATTAAATGGATCTAAGCATCCATCTATATTAGATGATATTAGGAGGCGGCTGGTCATGCAGCACATACTGGCTTTATGCTGCCATGCTCTGCTATCCACCTCACTGTCCACTCAGTAAGTTATTCAGAAAGATGACCAAAACACTGCTGATTATATAATCGGTTGAAAGCACCAGAATAAACATAAAAAACATGAGAAATGAAGAAATATAAAATGATTTAATGCAACTAACTGATTACGCACAACACAGTTGTTCTGGGGCCCCTTTCCATCTCTTTTCCAGCCAGTTATAAATTAACATCACAAATATGTTTAAATGTGTTCAATATCTATATGTAAATGTTTTTAACAGCATTTTTCAGTTTTGCATAGAAGACTGAAAGAAATATGTTAAAAACTATGAAGATAATATGTTGTTATCTTTGAAATAACTATTAGAAAACCGGCACATCACTGCCACCAAGAGGACCGGAGTATCATGCAGAATAGTTTTAGCTAAAGAGGTGTGGAGCCGCTCTCTGACAGGTATTCCCATCTTAGGGAGGAGGTGTGGTTTACCCCGTTGCTATGGGCAACACTGTCTTCTGAGAGATGTAATTGGTTGATTCACAAAACAAAAAAATAAAAGAAATTAAAAAAAAAACTACACATATGTGCTTAAAGTTATCAATGGAAAGGAATTAGGGTCGGGGAAGATTTTTATGATATTGATAATCAAATATTCTATTTCTAAATATTTATGATTTTAGGAAGGTTTTCTGTAAGCCGCTGACTTCCAGTACCAGAGTCCTGTCATCTGCAGGAATACTCAGATGACTCTGCAATCATTTGATTCATCAAAAAGCTTTGTGATATGGTGTGGAAAAAAATAATCTGATCCTGAATGTCAACAAAACAAGGGAGAGGATTGTAGATTTGAGAAGAAACAGGAACACGTTGAAACCTATTAGCATCATGGGAGAAGAAGTGGAGGTAGTTGAGGAGCATAAATACCTTGGTGTTCATCTGGAAAACAGACTAGAGATGCAACTGTGAAGCCGTCTACAAGAAGGGACAGAGCAGATTTTACTTCCTGAGGAAGCTTAAGTCCTTCAGTGACTGCAGCAAGATGCTACATATCTGCTAGAAATCTGCTGTGGAGAGTTTGATCTCTTCTTCCATCCCCTGCTGCGGTAACAGTGTTAGAGCTAATGGCTTAATAAGCTAATAAAGTGTTTATTCAGGAATGAGTAACTATAATTTAATGCTTTTTAATTCTCTTAGAAATAATTTTAATGCCATCGAAGAGTACGCATGACTCTCATGTATATAAATAACACAGCAAAATGCTTTGTCATCTTTACGGTTGACAGGCCGCAGTCATTTACCGTCCATCGCTTTCCAGCTACTTTTTGTTGAAATTTGCATTTTCCCCCATTCTGTAGCTTTTTTTCCGCCTGGAGCCTCTTTTCCGAACATACGGTTTTACGATCAACCAGAAGCAGTTCTGCGCAAATATATTGTGATATAATATATATGACGTATAAAAAAAATGGCATTTTAAGGCATTTATGCCACGATAATCACATTTAATGAATTTTAATGCCAATTAGGCCTTAATTTAAAGAATAATAATTTAATGACTTTTAATAACCTGTGGAAACCATGTAATAAAGATGTCCGGCTTTGTTCTTAGAACTCCTCTAGAACCTCTGGAAATTATTTCACAAAGAAGAATTCTTTGTGAAGTTAATAACTTTAATAAACAACAGTGAGTATCCTCTGCAGAAGGTTTTTACCCAGAGTGTCCTCACTAAGAGGCTATACCTACTGCAACTCCATAAAAAAAGCACACAAAAAAAACCTATTAGCTCCTGCAGGCCAGATTGAATTAAAATCTGGAGTTTACTGTGTTTAGTGTTATGTTTCCATTGTTTATTCAACATAATTCTTTTACACAGCTTGATTTTTGTTATCCTTTACATTCATCTGATTTAAGAGAGGGTGATTTGAATTAAAGCTGGTTTTTCAAAGTAATGCAAGTCATCTGTTTCTTTTTATTACGACAGAAATTATCGGATTTGGTAGAAAAAAAATTGAAATCAGAGATAAGATTTTGTCGCCCAGCCCTAAAAGAAATTAACTTATTTTAAAATTTATACATGGACTAAAAAATGTGTCTCCTGATGAAAAAATAGGACTAGTTTGTTTTACACAGCATGAAAATGTTTGAACACCTTATTAACAAACTAATCTTCATTTCCATGTGCTTACTGTCACATTTACTCGCCATGCTGCTCTTTTTCATACCTCTATTATTTGGTTTTAATGTGGACTCCCACCTCTCGGCACGTTGCCTGATTGTTTAAGGTATTTAGCAAAAATTATCAATCCAACCTGGAGAAAAAGAGATGGAAAAGAAAAAAGGCAGTGAAGAGAGGAGCAGCAGCTCTTTCTCCTCAGCTCTGGGGCGAGAACAGCGGAGTAATGAAAGGGAAATGCATTAAGATGATGGTGCAAAGAGGCAGACTTTGAAGCATTGAATGAAAGCTGATCAATGCAGATTTTTTTTCACCCTTTTCTTGCTGTTATCCACCAGCCTGCAGAGTAACAAACACATTTTGAGCATCATCTAGGGTCGTCTGCTTCTTTCTGCTTCTGCAGAACATTCAGCTAAGAAAATGTATCTATATGTAAAAGGTCCTAAAAATCAACTGGTTTTACCCAAAAAGGACGACGTTTTTTTTTTCTCCAACAAAGAAAAGAGCCCTCTCTGACCATTATTTCTCTACTAAAATATCTTCTTTCTGAACTATGGCAAAACAGTTTATAAATAGCGAAATTAAAGCTATAGTGGAGGATTTTCTCAAATGCACATGTAACCGCTCCTGAGAGGGAACGCCTATTAAACATGTGCAAGTGCATGCAGGAGCCAATTTCTCCTCGTGCACGCTCTGTTTAAAAGAGGCTATTTGCATCACTCATACAAGCTTACTTTCCAAAAGAAGATCTGCAATTTTTCCACTATGTCAGACTCACCTCCAGTAAGCATGTAGGACAGCCTCACGTAAACCTATCATCAGAATGATTGACAATTAGGAAGACCACTTATTATGATGATCCACCCAGAATAATAACATCCTCCACTATACGTCTAACTAAATATGTCAAACCTTTCAGCAAAAAATATTCCATTTTAGACTCTGGTAGCCTAAGCTGGTAGCCTAAGACGAGAAAGGATCATAATCCTGATGAATTGACCACACCGATGACATTTTGAGTTGTACTTTCTCTCTTTAAAACTGCTTTTATTCAGCTTATCAAAGCAAAAAATCCAAGCTGTTCTCTAGATGACGATGAAAGGACAGAGCAGCTCAACAGTCGGAGCATCCAGATCGCCTGGACGCCATTTTCATGCCCAAAACGCGTTTAGTGTGAAGACACCATAAGAAGAGCTGTCCAGAGAGATGGCAGCACAGCAGAGACAGATTTCCAGAAGCCCCTTGTAGGTCATGGATGCTGACATCATCATGTACAATATAGCAAACCTGACCCCCTTTTACACCTTTCTACTTTGTATGCTATAAGAAAAGAGTAATATGATAGTATTGCATCTTCTTTCTGCAACTTTTTCCAATTATTTTGAAATATTGACTGAGAGCATCTTACAGTGTGTAAATAATAATGACATTAATCGGTATCATTATAGTCTTTATAGTACTTGTATATTTTCCCAAATAGTTATTTATCCTTACATTACTAGAGGTTCATCTTAAACCAATTTGGACCCTGAAGCTATTCATGTTCTCCTGATGGAGATGACAGAGTGTAATGCGTCTATATATTAACAAGTTTATGCTTATCTATTTTTCTATATAGGTGGCGGATCGTCCCCTCTCTGTTCAGACTACTTCAGTCTCACTAAAAGTCAACATTCCTACCATTTTGTCACGTTAGGACACAAAATATTTCAATATGCCATGTCACTGAGGTAAAGTTAAGAGATATTTCCTAAATTTATGTCATTAACAGAGATACTTAAAGTCTTAGGAGTCTTTTTGAATACAGGCAACAAATAAAGTATTATTAATAGAACGTGAACCAAAAAGTCCAGGCTGCAGGTAATATTGTAATTGAATCAATCAGAAGCTGGAAGCTCTGCTCTGCTTCAGATTGGTGAGTCTACCTGGTGTTTCCAACACTGAGCTCCAGGGCCCACTTCATTCTCCGGGCTCCGCTGCCTCCCCTGGTGGACAGAGCTCCTCCTTGTCCCCCTGGCGACGCCATGGCAACAAACTTCACCACTGGTCCTCAGAGATAGAGAAAGAGTGTGTGCACCTGCACGAAACCTGAAAATATAGATAACATTTAGTCATTGTGACAGTTTTCAAAGATCTGATCCTTAAAAAGTAGCATCTCATAAAATATTAGCAGATGATGAGTTACTGCGTCTTTAAATCACTTCCATTTTGGCAGCTCACCATAAACTGGAGTAGATTTAGCTTCTATAGCACAAGATGAACAAACAAACAGTATAGCACAAGTGGGAAGACACATTTTTACACAAGTAAAATAAAGAGGTTTTGTGTGGATTTTAATAAGCCCCTCAATACAACGCAGTAGTGCAACCGAATAACATGAGAATTGATCAAATTCAGGAATAAAATCCACCTGTGTGTGAATATCAGTGTACACACTGGTTTGTTATTGAACAAGCAGCATCCTAGTGATAAAGGAACATTTCAGAGCACTGATCAAACCATTATTGAGTTATGAAAAGAACATCGCTGGATGGGAAAAGCTGCTTCAGATCTTCACCAAAAGAGTTACAATTGAAAAGCAAAGGTTTGCACTTCAGGATATTGAGTCAATAGGATTAAATATAAATGCTTAAAATAATCTAATTTTCATGCAACACTGTTATGCAATTCTGTTGTTGTGAAACAGTGAAGACTGTGGCTGGTTATGAAAAAGGTCCATGAGGTATTAATACTTTTAGAAACTGCAGAAAATTAACATTCCATTAAAGGACAATGACAACATTTATTAAATATATGTCTGGTCAAAATTGCACCTGAAGAAATATCAAGGTATAAACGGCAGGGGAAACTACGAATTTTACTTTACAATTAGATAAATAATAACCAGAACTTATAAAAAAATATTTTTTATCAAAAGGAAATCCAAAATCTACTTTGAAACTTTACGATTTTGTACAGAAGAAAAAAAAACATGGCGGATTTAGTGAACAGTAGCTTTCCCAGAGCTTTCTGCCATAAGATACACCGATGACAGGACAAAATACTACATTAACAGTAGCTATTCCAATAACAATCAGTAATATTTAAAGAGGTATTACAGAAATGTGTTGTTTTAAGTTTTTCTAACATACACAGCGGCAGCTCCGCAGAAGAAGCAGCGCGACGCAGCGCTGACAGGGGTGTAGCTACCGGCTAACGTCGAGCAGTAAAAGCTAAACGCAATGCTAAAAGTTAGCTTACCTTACAAAGACATCTAAACCAGCGCTGCTGTCGTTTAAAGTTGGTATTTTAGAAAGAAATTGGGCCGTTTAGAGAGCCGAGAACAGCTTGTTCTACCGACCAACACTCGCTGACTTCAACCCAGGCCCGCAATGATGGCGCAGTTACGCTTAGAAACGTGGGTGGACGTTGACGTCGCACAGCCAGTAGTCAGTACGTCAAAGATACCGCCATATTGGAAAGGTCACTTGCGCCACTTTCAAAGACAGAAATAGCACTTTTTTTGTTTTAAAACCTTTCATTTGAGACTTAAAAACAGGTTGTTACAATATTATTTTAATATACATCACTTTATTGATATAGGTTGGGCAACAGAAATAATTTTTAGGTCCTGCATATTCTATTTTTTGAATCATATTTGAATTCAAGTATACTTAAATATACAATTTGATTTAATTAAAGAGTCTTTTAATCTATTGTTTTCACTTTATCAAAATTTTTTCAACAAATGCCTTATATCGAGATGGTTTCATCTATTCAAAAATTTAGTAGCTTTATGTTTACTTGAAGTTTGAATTCCCACAGCATGGTGATGCCAACACCGTGTTTTAGTGTTGGAATGATGTGTTCAGGCTAATGTGCAGTGTTTGTTTTGTGCTTCACATGACGTTTCAAACATGCATAGTACTTTATTTCTTTCAAATAATGATTGTCTCCTCACCAATCTTCTTCAAAGGTCTGATTTGTGGATTCCAGCAAGGTTTCCACGTATCTCTTCACGGATTTATGCTCTCTTTTCCTAGCTTTACATTTTAATGCAAAAGTCACATTATTTGCAGGTCCACTTTTTGTCATACTGTTCCATGTATTAGCTGACACAACAAACAATGTTTTGTGAGAGATGCAGCCAAAACAGACCAGATCTAAAGCTTTTATTATTTTAAACAAGTCCCATATTTTATGTGGCAGCAATATTTAAACATTCCATAACAAATTAAGGTTAAACATGTATGTGCATCTAAGAATTCATTTAAAGACAATATATACAGACTTGGTGACAAGCAAATAAAGCAGTGCAAACTGTATCGGTAAGTATACAAAAGTCACGTATGAGAGGCACAGTGGTTCTGTACAGCATGTGCACATTTTAAGGCCCAATTTAAACACAGATTTAAGGCCCGAGTGGTTTAGGCTCAGCCTCTGCATATTTGTTCATTAGGCAAAAAAAAACAAAAAAACATTCTGTTCCCATAATATGAGATATGTCAATGCTGTTAATGGAAGATTAAGGCCGGTTTATCTGCTACATGATACCTTTTGAGTGCAGTAGTTTAAAAAAAAAATACAGTTAATATACAGTTTCAGTTATTTCTTTTCTTCACATGTTTTGTTTTTCTTCACATCACTTGTAGAGGCTGAGCTCTGGGCTGTGGTACAGGCACATGTAGGAGTCGCAGAGCAGTCGGCGCACCGACTCCTTCACAGAGGAGGCGTCCACCCTGCTTAGCTCCTCCTCCGACAGACCCAGGTAGCGGCCCACCTCAGGACACGCTTTCACTCGGGGGATGTTGAAGCCGTTCTCGCCACCTGGGGTGAGGAGCGAACAAACAAACGTGAGGCTTTTGTGTTTGACTTATATAAAAAAAAAAAAAACTTTTTCTAAAAGAGAAACATCGTACCGTCTCGGTCTGCCATGCTGTCGAAGAACAGCCAGTCGGAGGCCTGGGGTCCGTGCTTAACGAAGCTCACATAGTGGCTGGTTTCGATGCACGTCACTGCAAACAGAGACATTCGCTGGCGAGCGTAATGCAGAGGCCCCGACCACGACCCCTGAGGAACGTTGATCTTCTCTGGCTTGTGGGAAGCTCGATTCCTGTGACTGTGAACCTGGTAAAGCGATGTTAAAAAAAAAACAACTCAACATCCCTTCTTATTGTCAGGATTTTAACAAACTTTCCGGGAAACAAAGGGATACCTGTGTTTTACAGGTCTGGCAGTATTGCTTTAGACGTCCAGGAGTGATCTCCAGGTCTCCGTAACACTGCGAACATTCCCACTCAGCTACAGCCTGGCAGATACTGCACTGTCTCAGAGCTACACACAGTAGGAAACATATTCAACTTCAGGCAGAAATAACAATAATAAAGAAATGTGATCAGAGCAAACAGACCCTGATAAAAGGTACTATAGAAACATAAAAAAAGGATGTGGAGGATCTTACTGTCATCCAGCAAGTCAGTGATGTCCAGGCTGAGGGTGGGCAAGATGGCGTCAAACATTTTAAAGTCCTTCCCAAAGCGAGGCATCAGCAGGAGCAGACAGGAGGGAGCCTGGTGGGAAAATAAAGACACTTTTTTTTTCTAAACAGAGAACTGAACCCTGATGTTCATCATGAAAGCTGATTCCCTGAGAGAAGCCAGAGGAATGATAGATTAGGCCGGGTCTCTAGTGAAAACTAGTGGTGGGATGTTATCACATTTTTGAATCGACTTTCAATGGTGAAGTCCTCTCGAAATCTAAAATAATTATTGTTGATTGCAGGGTTCGTAATTAATTAATCAAATTATAATAAAAATAAACCAACTTTTCAATAAAAACTTTTAAAAACTTTCATCCCCAATAATTGAAGGATGAAAAACACAATGCATATGTTTCTTGTATGTAATCAATTAATTTGGTTATTCAACCATCAGGTCAGATCATTTAGCTTTATCTAGAAACCCCTGATATTCTATGCAGAGTTACATGGAGGGGAAGTGGGTAACAATGTTGGCTTGCAGCAAGAAGGTCCTGGGTTCGATTCCTGGGTTCTTTCTGCATGGAGTTTGCATGTTCTCCCTGTAAATGTGTGGGTTCTCTCTGGGTACCCTAGCTTCCTCCCACTGTCCAAAAA